GGCGCAACATGAAAAACCTATTGCATACCTCCAAAATAAAGGATTGGATGAAAAGGATATCAGAATTATTAGTAACCTATACTAGGAACAAATAGCGAGAGTTAGAAAAAACATTCCTACACCACAGATAGAGACAAAAAGAGAAAAACGTCAAGCAATTGTCTTTTTCCAAAGTTTTTCCAACATATACAAAAAATATTTGTAGTCGAACTGAGGAATCGTCTGGACTGAATATAATGAAAGAATAATAAACAATCGCAGATATGCACGCTGACGACACAGTGTTACTAGCAGAAAGTAAGCAGGAGTTACAAGAACCAGTAGATCAAGTCAACAGACGGGGATGCATAAAATGTATGGATTAGACAGTGATACTCAAAAAAACAACCAAAAAAAACTTTGGTAATTAACAATGGAAAAGAATGTACATCACAATCTGAACATCACAATAAACGGAAAGATGTTAGAATAAACACAAAGTTTCTCCCATCATAACACGTGTAACAGCTGATGATAGAAATGAAACATAAATTTAAAATGCAATAGGAATGGCTACACCAGTGTTTAAATGTTGTGTATACTAAACCGTGCTCTGTGGTGAGGAAACTTAAAAGATGAACAGCCTAGCTCCTTAGCTCAGTTGGTTAAACCTGACTGCGCGAGCGACCTGGGGACGATCTTCTTGTAGTCCGGGTTCACACCCGGGGGTAGGCAGAAAAGCCACATTTCTCCCAGATTTACGGTACCTATCACGGAAATAGAGCCGAAGGGTAGTGATATCCATAGTACCAAACCAAAGGGTTAACAACTCATGGTTTCTGAATATTTAAAAAAGAAAATTAAAAAGCAAAAAACAAGCAACCAAAAAGCCGAATTGATTTGTAGAAATGTTTATGTACAGATGAATAGGTCGTATTTTATTGAAAGAAAACAATTAGAGGTTCTTGAACGTAAACTCTATGGACCACTGAATGAATTAACAACAACAGTGAAATTTATACAAGAGACAAAATTGCTGATATAGACAACCTATTTCAGGCGAACGAAAGAAGAAGAAGATGAGAGGTTCTCGAAATTCTACAAAAGAAAAGAGAATTACTGAGCGAAATGAAACCAAAAGAGATAGACTTGAAATATTTTGGCAACATTAAAGGACAAAAAACCCCTGTTTAAAACCACACTGGGTAGAAAGGTCGAGTGCAAGAGAGCATGGGGTAGACAACGATACAGGTGGGAAAAGCAACATCAGGAGATGGACAAATGACAATCTGAGAGCTATTACAACCAAGACCAGAGCTTGTCGGAGATCTTCTGTTAAAGCCAGTCTTCTTGCGAAGACGGCACCTATTTTATTGATTGAAAGGACTGGAACTATAACCGCGGGACGCTGGTGTATATGTTGAAAGAAGAATATGAGCACCCAAGATAGCCCACTGAGCACCTATGGGCGTATCCGGAGAACTGTGAAGATAGCCCAGTGAGCAACTATGGAGGTTTCCAGAGCGCCGTGCAATTAGCCCAGTGAGCAACTATGGACCTGTCCGGAGCTCCATGAAGATAGCCCAATGAGCAGCTATAGACGTGTCTGGAGTGCCATGAAGATAGCCCAGTGAGCAGCTATGGACGTGTCTGGAGTGCCTTGAAGATAGCCCAGTGAGCAGCTATGGACGTGTCTGGAGTGCCATGAAGATAGCCCAGTGAGCAGCTATGGACGTGTCCGGAGCGCCATGAAGATAACCCAGTGAGCAACTATGGACGTGTCCGGAGCTCCATGAAGATAGCCCAGTGAGCAGCTATGGACGTGTCCGGAGCGCCATGAAGATAGCCCAGGGAGCAACTATGGACGTGTCCGGAGTGCCATGAAGATAACCCAGTGAGCAACTATGGACGTGTCTTCTTCTTCTTCTTCTTCTTCTTCTTCTTCTTCTTCTTCTTCTTCTTCTTCTTCTTCTTCTTCTTCTTCTTCTTCTTCTTCTTCTTCTTCTTCTTTTTCTTCTTTTTCTTCTTCTTCTTCTTCTTCTTTTTTTCCTCCTCCTCCTTCTTCATCTTCTTTTTTTTTCTTCTTTTTCTTCTTCTCCTCATCCTCCTTTTCCTCCTCCTCCTTCTCCTTCTTCTTCTTCTTCTTCTTTTTCTCCTTCTTCTTCTTTTTCTTCTTCTTCTTCTTCTTCTTCTTCTTCTTCTTCTTCTTCTTCTTCTTCTTCTTCTTCTTCTTCTTTTCTTCTTCTTATTCTCCTCATCCTCATCCTCCTCCTCCGTTTTCTTTTTCTTCTTCTTATTTTCCTTTTCCTCCTCCTTATTCTTCTTCTTCTTCTTCTTCTTCTTCTTCTTCTTCTTCTTCTTCTTCTTCTTCGTCTTTTTCTTCTTCTTCTTCTTCTTCTTCTTCTTCTTCTTCTTCTTCTTCTTCTTCTTCTTCTTCTTCTTCTTCTTCTTCTTCTTCTTCTTCTTCTTCTTCTTCTTCTTCTTCTTCTTCTTCTTCTTCTTCTTCTTCTTCTTCTTCTTCTTCTTCTTCTTCTTCTTCTTCTTCTTCATTTCCTCCTCCTCCTCCTCCTCCTCCTTCTTCTTCTTCTTCTTCTTCTTCTTCTTCTTCTTCTTCTTCTTCTTCTTCTTCTTCTTCTTCTTCTTCTTCTTCTTCTTCTTCTTCTTTTTCTTCTTTTCCTCCTCCTCATTCTTCTTCTCCTTCTTCTTCTTCTTTTTTTTCTTCTTTTCACCCTCTTCCTCTTTCTCCTTCTTCTTCTTCTTTTTCTTCTTCTTCTCCCCCTCCTCCTTCGTTTTCTTCTTCTTCTTCTTCTTCTTGATAATAATGCGCAAACCAACCCCAGCAGTTGAAGGCAGTCTGCAGGGGCGTATATCATGTATTTGGCACCACCTATGGCAGGGGTTCAGACAAATGTGTGATTTTTGCATTTTATTCTAAGTTAATTTAGATTATGCTTATTAGAAATCTTCTTCTTTTTCTTTTTTGTTTTGTTTTCACCACTGTAAACTCTGGCGGAAAGTTCTGGATGTTCGTCCACTACTGGACTAGAGTCTTGTTCTCAAGTTTTGCGAACATATTCGTTTTAAAAATCTGGCTTTTTTGTAAGTAGACCGTTGGTTCCATGCCTCTCAGGCAAACGCACTTAGACTTCGAAGGAAACTCTTGATTAGTAGAAACTTACAAAATGCCTCTACCTGTCACTGCTGATTGCGGTCTTAATTATTAGCGAATTTTACATCCAGAAGTTTATCTATACTTACTGAATGGTACGACACTCATACCGTAATCTCTTCAGGGCATTGTGTACTAGAACCACAATCACTTTGGACTAAGTTAAAACCGTTTGTCGCTGCTTGTTAATATTAACACGCTCAGGGCATCAACTCCAGAAAAACACCACCTGCTTGTTTCTTCTCCCTCTCCGCCCCGCTCCCTCTTACTTCTTCTCCCCCCACATCCCTTTTGTTACTGCCAAGATGTGAACATTAATTTGTTACGAGCCGGTACTCGCGCACAATTGGTGTTTACATCGCTTCAAGAAAGCTTGATTAAAGCGAGGATTATTTTTACAAACGACTGCCAATTTCTATTAAATTCTGCCGCCCTGACAGCAAACGACCAGCGCCGAATGGGATCCAGCTGTCGTTCAGATTGGCGCCCCTTATTGCTTTAATCTTGGTGGCTCTGCTGGTATTAAAGGATCCGAGGTAACCATCGGCGCTGCTGGCGTGAAAGTAAATTTAGTTACAGGATTGTCGGCCTTCTAAACGTGTAGAAATCTGCACTACACACAAGTCGGTATGGTTGCATAAAGGAAGGATGTAATTATTCCAAGTAATTATCCTTTGTAATTAATAACAAAATTATCTGTGGCATTTTCTTTTCAACGTTGTCTGCGCACACCATGTGTTAGATTAACCCATGCAGTCCTAGCTGTTACTTTAACTCCTGCTGTCACATGTGCGTGTTGCAGTGTGTTTTAGTCATTGTTTTAATCATATTTAATCAGCCAGGAACAATGAAAATTGGCCGCAATGAATCTCAAAGCTTCTGTCTTTCGCCTTGTTTGTACTCGGAGACACCTGATTGTCTATCTCCTTAGCCGGTTTATCTATTCTATTTCTTCTTTTGTCTAGCGGCGGATGCCACAAACCGTCATAGAGAGGTGTTGCATGTAGTTTCCTGTCTTTTGCTAGTTGCATAGTTTGTCTTAATGTTATACTGCGCTTCAGTAGTATCTCATTTACTCCCTCGACCCATGTCTTTCTTGGTCAGCCTCTTGCCCTGAAGCCTGCTGATGTCATGTACAACACTCTAGCTGCTGGCTGACTGTTCCATTTTTGACCTGATGTCCAAACCATTTGATTCGTTGATGTTCTATAAAATCATTTTTATGTACTGTGAGTTCTATTGTTCTTAATTCTCCATTGATGACTACATCTCGTTCTTGGCTTTCCCACTGCATTTCTTGTACATTTCATCCCACATATTGCAATTTTGAGTATTTTTTGTGATTTCGTGGTCTCGAGGCATAATGTCAGCCTCAAGTGCTAGAGGTCTCGGCTTCAAGCCACCGTGAAGGCTTGCATTTTTTTCTTTGTAGACTTCTGATAATTTCCCCCTTGCCTCTGGGTAGTAAGGCCGGAAGCCCTAGTCTATTGTTACGCACGTAAAAAGAGACTTATTGCAGCAGCTTCCTTTGTTTGTTTTATTCTTAATGCTTCAGTAAAGCTGGCTTAACATTTTCCTAAGACATCTCGTTGCAACAATAGAAGTCCTTTTTTTTTTAGAGACCTTGTTATCATCATCATCATCATCATCATCATCATCTTCTTCTGCTTCTTCTTCTTCTTTTTAACAGTCTGAGCCCTTGTGTCGCCTACAGTTATCCACCGCCCTCGTTAGTCGGTGCGATTCTTCGATCCTTCCCTTTTTCCAGCTGGTTATATGTGCACGCGGTAAATTACGTTCTCACCATGTTAAGATGATATTATTACTTACGCATACAACTTATTTTCCCCAGGTGGTGTGGACTGACCAGTGGTCAACTCTGCTGACTTACGAGGATAGAAGAATTATTGACGACGAGCGTCTGAGCGTTGAGAGACCGTTCACCAAAGACTGGAACCTACACATCCGAGACGTGAAGCATAAAGATCAGGGACTGTACAACTGCCAGATCAACACCAACCCTGTCAAGATTAAAACAGTCAATCTCAAAGTGCAAGGTTGGGCTTTGCTTAATATCATTACCATAATAATAATAATAATAATAACAACAACAATAATAATAATAATAATAATAATAATAATAATAATAATAATAATAATAATGTTAATATCAATTAAAAAATTTATTATTATTATTGTAATAGTAAAAAAGTAAAGGACCCTTTTCCACGCCTTTCAAGCGTATTGGGTATATAGGGCTAGACCTATATTTTTATAGACCAATCTATACTCGGTGCATCACTCCGGTTGCCTTTACTCCCCAGGTCTGTACCTAGTACCCACTGAAGGCTGGGTGAAACTAGGAGTCAAAATCGTTTTTTGAAAAAAAGTCCCTCCGTCGGACGCGAACCCACGAACTTCCGATCCGCAAGTGGGTGTCTAGCCGACAAAGACAGGGCGAAACCCAATTGTTGTAACAGTAGTAATAATAATTAAAAATCTTGTAACATAAATAAGTAAAAGAGGCACTACAGAAGCACCATTCTATTCTATGTATCTGTTTCGATATCGCAGACGTCATCCAGTCCAACATATTTCAGCACATTAATCAACATTTGCTTAGGTTTCTTTTGGGTTCCCTTGTTTCTTCAATCCATTTACTTTAGATTTTAGTGCTTGTTTGATGATCATCTATCTGTTTCATGCGTCGCAAATCTGAATGAAATAATAGGTCAGCTGTTTGTCAGCAAGCTAGTGTATGTCATCAGACCAACGTGTGTGTCATCAGACCAGTATGTATGTCCTCAGACCAGTATGTATGTCCTCAGACCAGTATGTATGTCTTCAGACCAGTATGTATGTCCTCAGACCAGTATGTATGTCCTCAGACAAGTATGTATGTCCTCAGACCAGTATGTATGTCTTCAGACCAGTATGTATGTCCTCAGACCAGTATGTATGTCCTCAGACCAGTATGTATGTCCTCAGACCAGTATGTATGTCCTTAGACCGGTATGTATGTCCTCAGACCAGTATGTATGTCATCAGACCAACGTGTGTGTCATCAGACCAGTATGTATGTCCTCAGACCAGTATGTATGTCCTCAGACCAGTATGTATGTCCTCAGACCAGTATGTATGTCCTCAGACCAGTATGTATGTCCTCAGACCAGTATGTATGTCCTCAGACCAGTATGTATGTCCTTAGACCAGTATGTATGTCCTCAGACCAGTATGTATGTCCTCAGACCAGTATGTATGTCCTTAGACCAGTATGTATGTCCTCAGACCAGTATGTATGTCATCAGACCAACGTGTGTGTCATCAGACCAGTATGTATGTCCTCAGACCAGTATGTATGTCCTCAGACCAGTATGTATGTTCTCAGACCAGTATGTATGTCCTCAGACCAGTATGTATGTCCTCAGACCAGTATGTATGTCCTCAGACCAGTATGTATGTCCTTAGACCAGTATGTATGTCCTCAGACCAGTATGTATGTCCTCAGAACAGTATGTATGTCCTTAGACCAGTATGTATGTCCTCAGACCAGTATGTATGTCATCAGACCAACGTGTGTGTCATCAGACCAGTATGTATGTCCTCAGACCAGTATGTGTGTCCTCAGACCAGTATGTATGTCCTCAGACCAGTATGTATGTCTTTAGACCAGTGTGTATGTCCTCAGACCAGCGTGTATGTCCTCAGACCAGTGTGCGTGTCCTCAAAGCAGTGAGTACGCCAGAATGTGAATTTGTTTATCACTAGATTAATGTTTAATATATTCAGGCTGATACATGAAAAGATCCACGAACATCAGTATAAATAATTCAAGATAATGACACTGTTTAGAATAAATACGGAAAGAAGCACTCTGTATTAAGCTTTTGATTAAAGGTAATGCGGAAAGATGATGATAATTACAGTCTACGAGAGTGTCAAATGCCAAAGGAGGATGTCGTATATTTTTGTTGGGGGGATGGCGGGGGGGGGGGGGGGGGAGGGCGTTAATACACATAGCAACCACACAGTTTTATGTGTAATATCAAGCTTTTAGATCAGTTAATTGGGTTCGTGAAAACACAGTGCATTTTTTTTTCTTCAGAAAAACTAGTATTAAAAAGTAAAATGATGATTCAGTCAATCTTCATCGCGCCCAAATGCACATAAGGCAGAGACTAACTGCTGCCACTCAGTTCGATCCTGGGCCATTCTTTCTATCTCTAGTTTTTTCCTTCGCGTAGCGTTGAGTTCAGCCTCTAAAGTTCATCTCCAAGTGCCTCTGGGCATATTTATTCCTCGCTGTCCTTGTAGTGTCCATTGCATTGCCGGTCTCGACCGTCTTTCTCTCTTCATTGTCCGGCTCTCTAGCGTAGTTGGCTAAACCGGATTGCGCGGAGACCAGGTGACGAACTCCTTGTGGTCTGGGTTCACCCCCAGGGTTAGGCAGAAAAGCCACATTTCTCCAAGATTTACGGTATTTTCAATGGAATCAAGGCCGAAAGGTTGCGATATCTATAATACCGAGCCTAAGGGTTAACAACTCATGGCTTCTGGATACTAAAACAAACAAACAAACTCTCTCTTCATTCTGAGGACGTGTCCAATTTACCTGCATATAAATTTACATCTTCTAAGTCTGTTTTTGTAATCTAGAATTACTGATACTATCTTCCCGTGTGAACCCCAAAAATGTTCTGAGAAGTCATACTTCAAAACCTTTGAGCATGCTCTCTATCTTTCTCGCACACCAGACACGCCAGAAGACATGTTAATCAACATAGAACTGGTACTATTAGCCATCAGACGTTGGGGTTCATACTGAGGGGAGAATCTGAGCACCTATGGACATGTCCGGAGTGCAATGATGATAACTCAACTAACTAACTAACTAACTGTGTGCTAACTTTATAAAAAAAAATTGTTGGCTATCTTCCGAATAACGATCCCAAATTATCGAGGCCGAAAATATACCCTAACAGGGCCTCAGGCACGTGACAATTGCGAACTTCCGGTGACTTAAATCGCGCACTTACGGCGACTACCGCCACCACTAAGAGTATCTCGCACGCCACTACGCGCGGCGTGGACTGGGGCTAAACTAGATGGCTGGGACTCACGAGCAGCAGCTACCGCATCTCCTGACTGACTGACTTTCTACCCCACAAGGACATCACACAAGCGACTAACACCTGATGACACAATGTGCCACCACGCGGGTAAGGATCCGAGTAACCGCGTTCAGCCTCTAAGCCATATTTATGGCAGGGCTATATTGCGCCCCCTGGCAAGAGCCAGAGTATAGCTTCAAATAACAAAAAATTTCATTTTAAAAACGACGGGAAGTACACACTACCGCATCTCCTGCAGCTTCCTTTATTTTATTTGCTCGTGAGTCCCAGACATCTAGTTTAAGCTCAATCTACGCCGCGCGTAGCGGCGTGGGAGGTACTCTCAGCGGTGGCGGTATAGTCCCTGGAAGTCCCTAATTGACATGTGACTGAGGCCATGTTAGGGTATATTTTAGGCCTCGATAAATTGGGACCGTTTTTTTTTTTTTTTTAAGATAGCTATTTTTTTTTTTTTTTCTTCATGGCCCGCAACGAAGTTGGTATGGCTAAATGTGGACCATAAACCCCCAAAAAATTGTTCGCATCCCTGACCTAGAGCCATTACTTAGGATTACAGTGTGAGCGACATTCTGTGTCGGAACTTCTGCACACGCGAGAGTGTTGTCAAAGGGCACTCATTGTTGCATATGCGGTATTATGTTACTATACGTGTATGACTTGAAATGTAGAGTGACGAAAGTAATCTGCTTATAAAAAAAATTCACGATAGTAGCTAAGGGAATACGTAACGATTTCAGCCTGGGGTAGTCTGTGAAAAAAACTAGTGTGATTGATCTATGACACATTATACGAGTAATAGGAGTAAACATTTGTGAAAGACCCTTTTCACACCACTAAAGGCTATTGCATATGGTGGTAGACCCCTTTTTGTGTGTGTGTGTCAAATCCTCGGAACTCGATGAGGATGTAATCAAAATCGTACCTACTGTCTTCAATTCCATATCAAATAAAAGGCTAGAATTCCCTGAGTTCATAGAATTAGAACAAGATGTAAACTAACCTTTATTTATTAGCACTCATAGAATAAAGCAGAGAGAAAGGTGGATGTCCTAAATGTCATAACAACAGAGAGCTATAGTTACCATTTTAGGAATCGAGCTTGTCATCTCCAAATGGCGCAGGCTCCAGTTCCCTGCGGTAGAGTTTCTCAGTCTGATGCAACTCTTCGTAGTGCCGCCCCTGATAGCTTTGTGCTGTCAGATCACAAGTTAAAATTCTATTTTGATTTCGCTGCTTATGTCCCCCTTAAGGTGCCGCCTGGTGCATATTCGTCTCTGTATCATAGCACAGCACAGCCGTAAACGCCTTGCTGCAGGAACAGGTGTGCTTCGATGTTTGACCAATTCGACACTAATAGGGGTGTCGTCGAGGTGGTCATGCGGCATGAACTTCAATTCCTGCAAAGTTTCTTGGGCCCATTAAGACTGGGTCAACCCAAGATCTAAGGACGTTTTATGCAAACCCCCCACGAACAGCAACATAATAGGACAATAGTTTTCCTGGGTAAATGTATTATTGTTAAATAATCCTTGCCGAGTGGGTTCCGGGTCCCTGTTATAAGTAAAAACAAGAACAGACTTACTGCCTACTCAAAAGCCTGTCGTAAGAGAAGACTAGTTGAGAGCTTCCGTCAAAGTCTGAGTGCATCTGCCTCAGAGGCAAGAAACCAGCAGTCTACATACATATGAGTCAGATCTCTAAAACGGTTGCACACACAACACTCAGGTTCTGGAACAGGACTGCAGTCCAGAAGTGGATAAACAACCAGAACTTTCTGCCAGAGTTTACAGCTGGTGAACGCGAAGAAGAAGCGAAGAAAAGGAAGAGATAATCATGTACAGATATCCTTCTTTGAACTGTTAGTTTCATGTGGATTGTTTTCTTCATCTACAGTTCCTTCAAAGATTTTAAACAATGCATCAACGGATGCCTTGGTTGCCCGTGAGGGCACCACTGTAACTTTGGTGTGCAACGTCAGTGGTATACCCATGCCCGCTGTCACGTGGCATCGACTTGTAGCCAATGAGAAGGGCGAAGATAAAAAGAGTGAGTTCTGCCCTGGCACAAATAGTAAGGCATATTCTTGGAATGGGTATTGTGTTTTCACTATATTGTTTACATATCTGCTTAATCTGTATATCGATGTTTGGGCTTTTGCTTCAAGGATCAAGCGACCGATCAGTTAATTACTTTACTACAAACAACTAACTAGCAATGAACTGGAGGGGGAAATGCAGTTTGGTTCCATGCAGGCTTGGTGTCTGATATAAAGCCATAGGATCATTAGGATGCCAAGCCGACGTTTGCAGGGACAGATCTGTCACACACAGTGGAGTCAAGTTGTTGGTTGCTCAATTTGATTTTACTTAAACTATTTCTGAACTGGCCTTTAAATAAGATCTCATAACAAGAAATATTTCCATCATACAAGCTCCATATTTCCAGATTACAAACAATAATAAAGTCTTGGTTCATGGGATATGGGGTAGGTAGGTATTGATCACATGAAAGTTAACACGGGATATTAAAGACACCCTGGGCATAAAAGTGCATAGGACTGGTCAAGTGTCTTTTCTGTGGGCAAAGGTGGATTTTACAGACTAAATAAACGCCTGAAAGAAAAAAGACATCCATGACTCGTGGGAACTCCACCAAGAGAAAGTTAAAAGCCATACACACACACACACACACACACACACACATTCACACACACATACACACATATAACACACACATACACACACACATACACACACATACACACATATACATACATATACATACACACACACAATGTTAGATTACTCAAAAGTTTTATTGCGGGGACAGTCTGGGAATCCTGTGGTAGACACTCCCATAATGATATTTTCCAGAATGAGCCGTAGATGACAGGGTGTTGCTAAAATGTAAAGCTTAAGACAAGGAACTGTGACAGAACTTGACTGTGGAAACTTTCAACGATGGGTCATTAAAAACCAACAGATGGTTCCGGGGATAGAAGAAGGCTTAGATTACACCAGAACACTAACTTCTTAATGCTTTCTAGTTTTGATGTTTATTTGTATTTATATTGTACACAATTTGTTGCAAGTTTAGTAAAGATATCACTGTTACAGGTAAAGAAAAAAGTTTGACGAAAAACTAAACTTCTCGGATTTTTTTCATCACATTCATTCTTCTCGTTACTGTTGCCCTGTCTCAGATTTCTAGTCTCGTAAAGTCACTGATCATTATTTAACAGCCACTCCTATAGTTATCTATTATGTTTTGAGATTAACTTTATATTGGTAATGTTAGGCCCGATTTTCATTATCCCATATCTGTCTCTGCTACTCTTAACCCCCCCCCCCACCTCTCTCTTTCTCTCTCTCTCTCTCTCTCTCTCTCTCTCTCTCTCTCTCCTCTCTCTCTCTCTCTCTCTCTCTCTCTCTTTCTCTCTCTCTCTCACCGAACTGTAAATTGTCACGATAAAAATTATAATAAATTATATGTATTCTTACAATCGGTAGATTCTAGTGGTTTTAACATTGGCTTTTTATTTTTATTTTGCCTTTCCAGAGATCGGTATTAACGGTGAGATTCTACTAATTCACAATGTCAGCCGCTACTGTGGGGGTGTCTACGAGTGTGTGGCCTACAACGGTGTCCCTCCAGCAGTAAACAAACTTATCAGAGTTAGTGTTGAATGTAAGTAATGGCTCCAACCAGCCAAGGTTGCTTCAACTAACACATAATGTGGAGTCCATGCGATGAACTATTGTCTTCCATGTAGATTGTTCTTCTTGTCCTTCTGCGCTCACCGACTGTGAACTCCGGAAGACAGTTCTTGTTGGTCACTTGTGTCTGGGCTTTAATCTTGTTCTAAGACCTAGAGGTTGTGTACTCATCTGGTTTTTATAGTTGTCTTGAGTGCAGACTTGATTTCCAAGGAAACGTCCACGAAATCTATGTTGGTCAAGCTTCCAGTAGGACACCCTTGTCTAGAATGATTGCGCAGAGGCGTAGATAGGTCTTAATCAATGAGATCTCTGGTCCTGGTGCATGACGGTAGCTGTTGGAGACCCTTCTGCACCCAATGCTTAAATCCATTAGCAACTATCCAGCTCAAAGAGATGTCTATGTACCACGGTAGATGTTGATACAGTGGATTCTGTTACAGGCGCAGATGCACTCTTCTGTCCTATTTTCAGCAGGAATTCAGTTACCTTAGTTCTTCTATTTGGTTTACCTGGATTAAACCTACATTTATTGTTTTCTTTCTTGCAAGAAAGGTCAGGCAGGGTATCTTAGAGTATGATTTCCAGGGTCATTTCATGTTTCATTTGCCCATAGCATAGACCTTTCTAAGCTCTGTTTGATACAGTGTTGTTGTGTGCATTCAGCAGTTTCAGTTGGTCGCCAGCGTGTCTTTAGCTTTCTATGCACTACATTTTTCTAGGTCCACCAGGCGTAAATGAGAACGAGCTATTGTCTTGGTAACTAGAGTCGGCTTGCGTGATGTTGATCACATTACCAGTGGAGTGCTGACTGGTCTGTAGAAACATGAGTCTAGTATCATTTAAGGGAGGCGCCACTGGCGAAAAAAAAGGTCCATTGCCTTACATTATATTATTGACTTTGTTAAGTCCTGTCCCGGGGACTAAAGAGTTCCATCATGTCTAAGTTTGTTATATCTTATCCGGGGACTAAAGAGTTCCATCATGTCTAAGTGTGTTATATCATTTCCGGGAACTAAAGAGTTTTGTTATGTCTGATTTTGTTATACTCTGTTCATAGACTAAAGATTTCCGTCATGTTTGAGTTTGTTATACTCTGTCCTGGGACTAAAGAGTTCCGTCATGTCTAAGTTTGTTATACCCTGTCCTGGCACTAAAGATTATCGCATGTCTAAGTTTGTTATACCCTGTTCTGGCACTAAAGATTCCCGTCATGTCTGAGTTTGTTATATCCTGTCCTGGGACTAAAGATTTCCGTCAGTCTGAGTTTGTTATATATACTCTGTCCTGGGACTAAAATGTTCCGTCATGTCTAAGTTTGTTATACCCTGTCCTGGCACTAAAGATTACCGAATGTCTAAGTTTGTTATACCCTGTTCTGGCACTAAAGATTACCGAATGTCTAAGTTTGTTATACTCTGTTCTGGCACTAAAGATTGCCGTCATGTCTGAGTTTGTTATACACTGTCGTGGCACTAAAGATTCCCGTCGTGTCTCAGTTTCTTATACCCTGTCCTGGGACTAAAGATTCCCATCATGTCTGAGTTTGTTATACTCTGTCCTGGGACTAAAGAGTTACGTCATGTCTAAGTTTGTTGTACCCAGTCCTGGACTGTTGTGTATCAGTTCCTTCTTGATCAGTTTGTTCCAGGTATCCTACTATGTGTTAAAATCCACTGCTGCATTTTTCTGTTTCACTGACGTATTTATTCGATTTGTAAAACAGTTAATTACGTGAAACTACCTGTTGTTTATTGTCTAATTTGTAGGGACCATTAGCATTAAGGGTTCGTCATTTTATCAATTAGTGTTATCTATAATGTTGAATGAGAGTGTTTCTTATACAGTCAATAGGTTATTCTAGTGCACACGCCATCCTCAATTTCCCCAATATCTTTCTTCCTTTTTTTTTAACTATAATCTAGTTACTCTATAAATTAAAAGTTCCTATTAAAATTAAAAGCTATTTAACAAACATTTAGACATATATAATTCTACATATGTGTAATATAACTGTTTGTGAATTTGTTGGGTGCAAGAGGGGAACGCTAGGAACACTAGTAATGAATATAAGCCAATATGCAGATGATGACATATGAACGGACGCCGCATGAAGATATGATGACTGTATCATGTCATGTGTAAATCTGCGTGAAAGATTGCAGAACTTGAAACACTAGGTGTTGGAAGAATATTGACCTTTGCAGATGATGTTCTTGCACATATTCAGGGAAGCGATAGACAGTGGATTACCTAAGAGCTACACAGTCACTGAATGGTGTGCAGAAATGGGTGCTGTCATCAGCTCAGAAAAGGCGGCTGGTGTGTGGTGCTCTCTGAACAATTGGTTTATAAGAACTGATGTTCCAAGCCACACACTTAATACAGTAACATTATTAGAGAAAGAAAACTGAGGTACCTGGGTATCATTTTCGATAGAGGCCTGTCTATTAGGGATCCTGTGGAGGCAGTTGCAGCGAAATGACAAAAAGGATTATGGCAGCAATGGACATGGAACAAAGAATGCTGTTCAAAGTGTTCCAGCATGTAATTCTGGCGGTGATAGATTATGGTCTTCGAATGCTCACTATATGAAAGAGTTAGATGATGAAACTTGAACGCATGCAGAATGAAGCCATGCAGGTAATTCTAAGATGTGCAAGAGATACCCCTGTAGTATGTATGCGATATATACTTGCACTGCCTACCACTGCAGATAGGCTAAAATTTCTGCAAGCAAAGTCCTACCTCAGAGTAGCTGCAGACAAGAGGCACCTCCTGCATGAAGCCCCAGGTAGAGCTAAGGGTCGCAGACTGAAAAGAGGAAGGTCCTGGATTCCGCAAGTTGAGGACACAATTAGACATGTGTACAGGCTGGATAAATTTGGGCGAGGGGAGGAGTGGGTCAAGAGTATTCTTTAAAGCTATATCAATCTTATCTTGACATATGGAAGTGAATCATGGACAGCTGGTAGGTTAGTGAAATCTTATCTGGAAGCTGCGAAGATGTGGTTTTATAGACGAATGATGAGAATACTCTAGACAGATAAACAGAGAAATAAAGGTCTTGAAAGAATCTTACTTACAAAAAAAAAAAAAAAAAATGATAGCCCACGTCAGAAAAGGATAATCTACGTTCTTTGGTTATGTGATGTGAATAAAGAAAACTGGAGTTGGGGGTGTGGGGGGAGGGAGGAGGCAGAGGGAGACTGAGAGAACAGATGCTGGACAGTTTGACATCAATGTATGGAGGATCATCTGCATCAGAGTTGATTTAAAGTACACAAGACAGAAGGTTGTTCATAGACATGACTACCAACGCCACACGGCATGGACTTTAGGAAGCTGAATATAGTGTACATGGACACTAAATGTCAGCGTGAATGTATGCTCTCATTTCAGTTACTATCCGTTCCAGTTTCTTTACACTCTTTACAAAATATCTAAGTAAACTGTGGTTTTAAGATAATAAGGTTATGAAAAATGACAGCTATAAAACAGCAAATGGGCCCGGCTCTCTAGCGTAGTTGGCTAAACCGGATTGCGCGGTGACCGGGTGACGAACTCCTTGTGGTCCGGGTTCACTCCCTGGGGTAGGCAGAAAAGCCAAATTTCTCCCAGATTTACGGTATTTACAATGGAATCAAGGCCGATAGGTTGCGATATCCATGATACTGAGCCTAATGGTTAACAACTCACGGCTTCTGAATACTAAAACAAACAAAACAAACAGCAAATGGGAAAACAGAAGTTATACAGTGGCTAGAACATAGCTCTTGGTCTGCCGTGGATGGGTTCGAATTCTTCATTAGAAAGGAATTTCTTTTTTTTTTTTAATTTACCTTTTTTCCTCAAGCTGGCCCAACTTAACAGAAGTACCAGAAAATGTTTAAAGTATCCTACATTATATTCTGATTCGACTGGTCTGTGAATGTATATGGCTAATATTATATTCTCAGTACCTTAAGAGTTAAAAAAAAAAGGGGGGGGGGGGAAGGGGGTCTTCACTTATTTATAAATTTTTAAACTTTTTAAAGTGCTAAATGCATAAAATTTATTTCTCTTTCTAATGGAATCTAATTTAATTATATTTAATAATCTTCGTCTTCTTTAGCATTCCGAGCCCTTGAAGTTCGTTGTTTCAGTCATCACCGCCTCTATTAATCTTTGTGATTTGCCTTGTCTTTGCAGATGGTGACTATATTATCTTTTCACCATCTTCTTCGTCAACCTCGTGGCCTACTCACGTTAATTTTAATTGTTTACACAGTTTTCTTTTCCTCTCTGCTTTACTGCATTTAGATAGTCGCCGTGGCTTAGCAGCTAGATGCTGGCTTCCGCATCGGAAGGTCGCGGGTTCGCTCCCTGGCGGAGCCGAATTATTTTTCCAAAATGACTTAGACTCCCAGAGAGACCTAGCTTTAAGTGGGTACAGGGTGCAGTCCCTGGAAGTAAAGGCTGCCGGCGTGATGCTGCCCACATCCCCCATCTTGTGCTGTTTGGTCTATAAAAATATAGGTCTAGCCCCAAATGCCCTATACGCCTAAAGGCGTGGGAAAAAAACGTTTACTTTTTTTACTGTTACTTTTACATTGCATTATGGTTTATATTTATATTTATATATATATATATATATATATATATATATATATATATATATATATATAGTTTGTAAATGATAAATTACGTAATGTATTATCTTCAGTTCCCCCAGAGGTCAAGCTACCGAACAAACGTATGGGGCAGGAAGTTGGGAAAGAAACAATTCTAGAGTGTGTGCTCACCGCCAATCCCCACGCTGTAGGAGTCTGGAAGAAGAACGGAGAGGAAATTAAAACAGTGGTAGGTTCTAACCGAAATCGCGTCACATGCAATTTTTAACTGTCCTGAGTGTTTAATTTGGGAGTCTGGTAGTCTTAGTTTCAGCTTCATAGCAAACGGGTCACCCCATCTTTGCTCCGCTCCTGTGCCAACGAAAAACACACAGAATGTTTATCACAGTATTAGAATTGCAGTTCATCATTGATGGTAGCAGAAGTCGCCAACAAATCAGCAGTTGCCCACGCGATCAATTTAATCACATACGGACACCACAACACTGGACGACAGGCATCGCGCCATTTTCTGAATCTACAATTCACACCAACACGTTGGTCACAGTCGAAAAAACATTCCAAATGTAATCCGCAGCTCATAGGGTCACGCCATACATTCAACTCAGAAGCTGGGCGACGAAACAATATCCAGTCTACAAATGGAGCCAAAATACTTCTGCCACCGTCCGGCAGAAGCAAAAAATTTGCCTCTGCTTCGAACAGTGCCGCTGCCTAACGTCCATTTTGACCGGAGTGTTTAATTTACTTGGCATATCATCGTCATCATTAACACCACCATTTTCAAGCTGACTTTGGCTGGATCCAGTCTAAAATTGGTACAAGGCATTGTTCTAGGAAGTAAATGCGCCCGGCATGATGTGATCACATCTCCTACCGAGTGCCGATTGGACTATAAAATATAAGTATAGCTTCATCATCCTGAAACGTCAATGATTCGAAAGAATCCTTAAGAACTTTACTTACAGTATTGATTGAGAGAGGTGTCAGCAGTGGTCAGTGTACTCTTGTCAACTGTGTGGATTCTTATGCAGTCTCCATAGCTGTCGGACTCAGTCCACTTTGAACCCAAAAAATGGATGTTGAAGAAGGTACATAGTGACAGAGAACGCTTATTAGGTGACCTGAAAATAAAATGATAAGGTCAACAACTGATCTCTGCCTAAGCCATGAGAGGGCTAACAATGGATCTATGTCAAGGCCATAAGGAGATCGACAATAGATCTCTGGTTAGGCCATAATAAGATCAACAATGGACCTCTAGTTAGGCCATGATAAGATCAACAATGGACCTCTAGTTAGGCCATGATAAGATCAACAATGGACCTCTGGTTAGGCCATGATAAGATCAACAATGGACCTCTGGTTAGGCCATGATAAAATCAACAATTAACCTCTGGTTAGGCCATGATTAGATCCGCAATGGACCTTTGGTTAGGCCATGATAAAATCAACAATTTACCTCTGGTTAGGCCATGATAAGATCAACAATTGGACCATTGGTTAGGCCATGATAAAATCAACAATGGACCTTTGTTCAGGCCATGATAAGTTCAACAGTGGACCTCTGCTTAGGCTATGATAAGTTCAGCAGTGGACCTCTGCTTAGGCTTTGACAAGTTATCATACCTCTTTTTAGGGTATGATGAGATCAACAATGGACCTTTGTTTAGGGTGGGATATTTTCAACAATGGACCTCTGTTTAGTCTATGAAAAGATCACCAACGGGTATCTGCTCAGGGTATGAGATAATAAACAATGGGCTCCTGTTTGGGTCTTGATAAGGCTCATTAAATGTATGGTAAGAATTTTTTTTATGTTACCTTTTTTTTAAGTCTCGATGAAGATTTGAACCCAAATCTTCTAGTCGGCAGATAAGCGTCTAGTCCTAATAAATATGATACTGCAAAAGGGCTCAAAAAGGGATCAAAAAGGTCTAAACGCACTAAAGATTATCGCAGCGATGGACATGGAGCAGAGAATGCTGTTCACACTTTACAAGCACCTAATCATCTCAGTGATTGATTATGGATTGGGGTTACTCACTGTCTCGAAGAGTCAGCTATCGAAACTGGAGCGCATACAGAATGAAGCTATGCGGCTGATCCTGGGTTGTACAAGAGAAATTCCGATTGTGTGCATGCGATACATCCTTTCATTGCCGACTATTGCAGACAGGCTAAAGGTGCTGCAGGCTAAGTTATACCTCAGAGTGCTGAACGGTAAACAGATCTAATTGTAATTCTTTTTGTTTGCCACAATCTTCTTTAGTCGAAAGCTTCGTTGGGCCAATGGCGATATCTTGCAGGTTTGTACAGAAACTCAGATCACAACGCGACCGCACTATAGCGGCAACCCGTGTAAGGGCATTCACTTTAATAATCGTTAACGGAATACAAATTCTTTAAACGAGGCAAATACATAGCGACAAATGTCTTTGTTAGTAAGAAAATTCGTTAGGCGAGTCACTCGTTAGCCAGGGTATCATGGTATTAAAATTACACTAAACATAAATATGATGCTGTGACAGGAGCTTCTGATTTTGAAATCTTGGCAAAGACTATTTCAGTAACCTATTTTGGTTTCTAAATTCATTGCTATGCAAGATACTGGTATTTGCTTTCCCACGTCCACTACACACTTAAAGTTAGCTTCAATGGATCTGAAAGGCTATTTCTCGAACTAGCTTCACATTCTCTCAGAGCTTTCTTGATTCATCTCTTTATTATACTCCCACTTATATTGCTGTGTACCTTTTGCTCGCCTTCTGCTTCTTCCCCTATTCGATGAACGGTTTGTGGTTGAGTGTGATACTTTTGATGAGGTCAGATTATTTCACTTGTCTTTGTTTTTGTTTTCTTCCAACAGTTCTCTTTTAACTCTCCATTTCTCCGGAACTTCAGTACTGTTTTCTCCCTATGAAATACGATCCATTCTTCTGTATAGCCACGCCTACGGTATCTCAGAATCTCCCTTGCTTGTTTATTTTCCAGGTTGTTGCAAAGTACAATAGGGCTGAGTATGCATTACATGTGATCATTGTTAGTTGTTATGTATCGTTTCTCTATCTAGACGTTAGTGCTATATTGCTGACATACTTATTGCCATTCCTCTTATCCTTTTTAGCTGTGTCAATTCGCAATTCTACCTTCATCTGTGATAATGTGTACAAGAAATGAATTTATTATTGGCCCCTCCATTCAATGCAGCGTCGTAACTAGACTATGTGCAACATGTGCAGCTGCACAGGCTGCAACATTTTGCAAGCAGCAAACTTGCAAGAGCGGTGGAAAAAAAATGTCAACTTTTAAAAAAAAAAATTTTGTCATGAAAGTTTCGTCTTGTATTGTGCCACACTGATTCAACAGGACCCCAGTTTGCACATTTGCTTTATTTGTTGTGTATTCAGTTAAGTTTAAAGTAGTCGATTAGGTTTAAATACACAAATACACAATATAAAACTGAAGTAAATTATTTAACAACTTATTGTTGAATGTCCGTACACGAATAGCCACGCTGAGGTTTAGCCGAGGGGAAAATGGGTGTGAAATAAATGACAGCACAGCAGTGTCAGACACCCTAAACAAGGTCCTGATTCCACAGTTAACTCTTTGAGTCCAAGGGAACGCATCATACGTTCATAGGTTCCTACGTAGAAGCCCAATTAACGCATGATACGTCGATTTTACTCTCTCTTTACTACCCATTAGGCCTGTGATGCTAAACCCCCTGGGACTCAAAAAGTTAAATATTTTTTAGATTGATATCCAATTCAGAAATTGCGTTTTGAATATTGACCTGCTGCCCTATATCTTGTCACTCCTACTCGCTTTCTGTTTATAACACTGTGTGCCGAACATATCGGGGATTATTATTATTCTACTTATATTACGTCCAGACAATTGGCCAGCTCATTTTAACAAAATAAAACGCTTTTCGTTTGTAGTTTTTCTAGGTTAGCTAGATGTTTCCAGTGCGTATTTTTGGCATTTTCCGATGTGATAATTTCCTTTATGTATGCACTTATTTTTAACATAAAACTAGCATACATATTTCACTTGTATATATCTTTCTGTGGACAGAGCGGGAAATATCGCATAGAGCCTTATACGGAAGATGATCACTCAATTAGCCTCAGCCTGAGAATCGTTGTGGTTGACAAGGAAGACTATGGGATGTACACATGTGAGGCCTCTAACAAGCTGGGCAGGGACAATGACACAATGGCATTATATGGTGAGATATTTAGTGTGCTACCTGAAAACGTAAGGTTTTAGCAGGACAAACTTAGTCACTTAGCCTTCGTTGGCAGCTGATTTCGAAGGTAAGCTTGGACAGTCAGACATAGCAGTGATGTTCTGAACTGGTAGTTTTTGTGCCGCCCTGTACTCGGCGATTTTCATGTTACTTTTTTTTTTGGAGTGAAAAAAACCAGGCTTGCATGGGCAACACATGGACATTGGTCAAGTTTTGTATTATGTAGAAACGGGGGGGGGGGGGGGGGGACATCACCCCTGGCCCTGTTGTTTTTGCCGTATGCTGTGCTTCCTCTACCTCCTTATAACACAATGGAACTCTATCGTCATGAAAGACGGAAGGGTGCCAGCAATATTGAATGCCGAATCAGCAGGGACTGTGACACAATAGCATTATTTATCTTCTTCTTCTTCTTCTTCTTCTTCTTCTTCTTCTTCTTCTTCTTCTTCTTCTTCTTCTTTTTCTTCTTCTTCTTCTTTTTCTTCTTCTTCTTCTTCTTTTTCTTCTTCTTCTTTTTCTTATTTTTCTTCTTCTTCTTCTTCTTCTTCTTCTTCTTCTTCTTCTTCTTCTTCTTCTTCTTCTTATTATTATTATTATTATTATTATTATTATTATTATTATTATTATTATTATTATTCTTTTTCTTCTTCTTCTTCTTCTTCTTCTTCTTCTTCTTCTTCTTCTTCTTCTTCTTCTTCTTCTTCTTCTTCTTCTTCTTCTTCTTTGTCTTCCTCTTCTTCTTCATTTTCTTCTTCTTCTTCTTCTTGTTCCTCTGCATCTTGTTCTTCTTCTGCTGCTGCTGCTTCTTCTTTTTCGTCTTATAGTCCATGCCATGTGGCGTTGGTAGTCGTGTCTATCTTTCTATCTCTTAAACAGCATTTTGTTGTGAAATGTAGATTGTTAGGCTGACTGGACAGCGACAATGGCAAACACAGTGAGATACATATTGCACCAACTCCACAGGGAAGGTGACATAGTACGACTATACGATAAAATACGTTTTACACTGACGGCAATGACCAAGACAGCTATACAGTGCTATTAAACTGTGAGATGCTGATATAACTGAAAGTACCTAGACGATGATACAGTGCCATTGTATGTTAAAGGGTCATTTTAAAGCTGGTGACGCACTAGGCATATGATGTTAGATTACTGTACTAACAGACCAATGGGCACTCGGTGGGTGATGTCATCAGCGTCAAAAGGCTACCTCTACTTCCAATGACTTATCGGGGTATTCACCTTAACCTGCGACGACCTGGTAGCCAAGAACGGATGTGAAAGAAATTTCCTTCGATAGGGATTCAAACCCAAAATCTGCGGGCTGGCAGGCGAGCGTTTAGAGTGTAATAATTTTGGTAGTAAGAGAGTGGGAGGGAGAGAGAAAGCGTTATTAATTTTCAAAAAAATGAATTTCAAACTGATGCCGTATATTTTGTAGAATATCAAGTTCACCGCCGCCTACCACCAGAGACAACACTCACAACGACAGTGACCACAGAGTCGGTAACACTTTATCAGCCCTACCCTCGCCATCAACACCCACACGGTCACAACGTTGGACACACCGCTAGCTCCAGTGTTGTCCAGGACAAACTTTCAGTCCCAAAGAGACCTAGCAACATACACGTGGTCAACAACCCCAGCAACTCCAGAGGTGACTATCGTTTTTTCTTTCTTTTTTTTTTTTTCTTTCCTTCTTTGTTTTACTTACTTTTTTTTTAAATAACGTATTATTATTTATTTATTTTTTTTTTCAAAATTTAACATGAAGACAAAAATACTGTTTACTGTTATAGTAACAGTATATATATATATATATATTTTTTTTTTTGGGTGGTATTTAGATGTTCTTTGTCGTTCTTATGTTGTCTGTACTCTACTATTCGTTCTCTTCGTTAATAACCACATGGTTGTTACTAATGCTTATCGCATAGTATTCTCTCTGTTTCTTTCTCTCTCTCTCTCTCGCTTTCTCTATTCTCTCTCTCTCTCTCTCTCTCGGTCACTCTCTCCCTTCCCAAGTATATGTCTATAGACTGACCTACCTGTCTACATACCCAGCCTAAAGACCTCATATTATTTCCATCAGTTAATCTGTCTGTATGTAAAAAATACGTTTTATATGCAACGCCCTACATTTCTTTATGTCATCAGTCTCTCGCCATTGTTTTTATCTTTGCGTATAGGACTTCATCAACAGTTAATTATACTACATGTAATATAACCAGCCATTGCCTCAACCTCTCTGACTGAGATAGGTATTAATTACCAAAAGTAACTGAATTGACCTCAATGAGAAAAACATGTGTATGCATTGATTTTGTATTTGGTGTCTGTGTCTTAGGCGTTGCGAACACGCTTCGTAATGCCGGCGTACCGGGTTCGATCCTAGTTGTAGACGATTTGTCTTGCGGTGGTTTCGACAGTAGTACCGAGAACTGACCGTTTCGGAAGCATTGGCAAACTACTGTACGTAAAATTAGCCTAGATAAAACACAACAGCCAAAAACTGCACGGGTTGGTTCTGCAAGGTCCTGTAAAGGATACGCAACCAACTTCATTTATCATGCTGTTGATACATTTTTTATTGTAAAATTCATTCTTTTCAGTTTATTTATTGATTGTCCTGTTGTTCCATTATATGTTACTCATGGCTTGCAGTCTATTCTTCCATTCCGCTCTGTCCCCTCCAAAATTTAGATTTTACAATCTACCTAAAGTATTTCAGGATCTTCGGAGTTCGTGCACTGCGCTGAGGCTCTTCAGACTCAGGCTTGGGTTACAAGTACAACAGAGCACTTATCGGTTACGCTAGTGTGCCATGATGTTAATTTGTCGAGTAAATAAACATATGGTTAGAAATGTAGATGCAAATCAAGCACATTCCAGTGCCCGTATCTAATATTTAGCAGACTTGACAGTGCTTTAGAGATGTGGTTTTTACAGAAGAATGCTTAAAATACCTTGGACAGACATTTAGAGCATTAAAGAGGTATTGAAAAAGGCGGGAGCCCGAATACAACTAATCACTGACATCAGAAGGACACAGTCATCATTTTTAGACCATGTTATGAGAGGAGGGAAAATAGAACATGTTGTGACCACTGGAAAGATTTGTGGAAGGAGGAATAGAGGAAGTCAACGAGAGAAGATTCTTGACAGTCTTGTTGCATGGCATGGAGGTGTGTCAGCACACGAACTAAAACATGCTGCAGGAGATTGTGGATTATGGAGAGGCATGATAGCCCACGCCAGTTAAATGATGATAATGCTAACTATTACATGTTAACACATAAATAAATTAAATCCTCCATTTACTTATAAATGTTTCTTTCAGTCCTTGATAAATTTATGTCTCTATATTTTTGTTTTCCAGCCGCTGCATCCTCAGATCCAAATGGCACGATAAAACCATCAGCAAAAGACACCATGGTCATCTTGATGGTCGCGGTGTCCATTGTTGGCACTATCACATCCTGGCATCACGAAGGATTGTGATGTTTTATATGTCCTGCTCCCACGGTGTACAGGCGGCTGTATTACTCATCTGGACCATTTATATAACACAAAAGTCAGTATCTTCTCAAAGTATAGTACATCATCCCCATGTCCAGAGGATGGCATCCACAGCTTCTCTACCTGAAAGTATTTAGCGTTAAATGTATGCGTGTGGTTGTTTGTCTTCGCTGCCTTGTTATATTACAAGTCAACTGAGAAATCTGCGTATGCTCATTCATTCACTATACCCCAAAAATATTTGACTACATAGATTGACTACATTTTTGGGATGTGTATTTAGAAGGCTGTCTTTAGCTTGAGGTTTTTAGGGTCGCATGACTAGTATTGTCGCCACAAACTGTGCAGGATACTATTATATTTGTGCGTCTGACGAAAGCAAATTTTCGTGTGACTTTCAAGGATTTAAACCCGGGACATTTGGATGTGTTTATGAATGTATTATCGAGAGAGCTTTATTGTAAAAACTGTGTGACTGAAATTGTAATCTGTTGTTCTGAGTGTTAAGCACGTGTTATCAAAGTGCGGTTGAACACAGTGACGCTATAATGACAATTTTAAAATGACCGCCCCACTTTTGACATGCACCAAATTATTAAAAATGTTTTGATCAGTGAATGGGTGAAACCCATAGACATTCATCAGTATGTGACGGGCCACTTTGATGATGCAGCCCTGTTTATTTGCATGGTTATTGTAATTTATATCACTCTCATAAATTCTCATTTGAAGTATCCATTTACACACACACGCACAGACACACAAGCACGCAAATATATATATATATATATATATATATATATATATATATATATATATATATATATATATATATATATATATATATATATATATATATATACAAATAGTATTGTGGTGGTTTCTTGGAAACAAAGTGCCGTGCTGTCCGGACGGGGGGGGGGGTGGGGGGGGGGGATTAAGAAGGAACTGGAACAAAGGAGAAAATAATTTCATAGAGGGTAAGAGACTATCGTTTGCGCGGAACCACATTAAATACATGAGTTGACTACAGTGGTCCAGAAATCCCATGCTTAACTTGCTGACAGTTTTTAACGTGAAAGGGTATAGCCAGTCACACTCGCTATCGCCATAGACTATGGCTCTCATGCTTCCCTGTAGCGCAATTTACACTGTCACCTAGAAAGACGAAAAGATGCCAACCGGAATATATAAATATATTATCACCATAGCACACGAACTAAACAGTATTGTAGAGACCACATGTTGTCCAAGCATCTTGATCCCTTGCTTGATCTGCCTTGTTTACTCCAAAGAAAAGATAACACCATTACGTTTGTTAAAAAAAGACAGGCTGCAGAAGCTACTGGATGAGAAGAGCAGTGCTCTATCTGTCCGTCTGTAAGAGCTTTCCTGCAAGACCAGCTTCCGGACAAGGCTAAGTGCCTGGTCTGCCCTGCCATAACATAATTTTTCAGGCTGCATTTCTTCTTTCTAAGATAAGGCTAGTATCCTCCCCCAGTGTGCTCCTCCGCCCGAAGCCGTCGGTACAATATGGGATGTCAGGTTTGGTATACGCCGCCCAACGTTCGCCCAGTCATCTCACTACAACATTGTCAAACACTCTACAGCATATCCATGCTGCGCACATGTTGGACAGCACATCCGATTACCTTCATTAAACATCAAATCTAGTATTGTGCAAGTTATTGTGTAATATCGTATCTCACTTTTAATACTGATGACGATGTCAATTTCAAAGAAAACTCTTACTATAATCATAACACTGATGTTCATGTTTACATTTTTCTTTATTCTATGGTAGTGAAGCCAGAGGCTTAACTATGCCTGACGTCAACATGCTGATATGCTTTTGTTATCTCTCCCACATAACACACACGCATATATATATATATATATATATATATATATATATATATATATATATATATATATATATATTTATATATATATATATATATATATATATATATATATATGTGTGTGTGTGTGTGTGTGTGTGTGTGTGTGTCTGTGTGTGTGTGTGTGTGTACTGAGATAGAGAGAGATTGCGAGTGACCGAGAGATTGCGAGTGACCGAGAGATTGCGAGTGACCGAGAGATTGCGAGTGACCGAGAGATTGCGAGTGACCGAGAGATTGCGAGTGACCGAGAGATTGCGAGTGATCGAGAGATTGCGAGTGACCGAGAGATTGCGAGTGACCGAGAGATCGCGAGTGACCGAGAGATGGTATGTTAGAATCCTTACTGAAACTGATTTTCATTTTTCATATTGACTTTGACCGCGGCGTCCGAGGCTCAGGCGTTGCGAGCCCGACTCGTAATTCCAACGTACTGCGATCGAAACCTACTGCTGGCTGCGTGGATTTTTATCGTGGTATGGGGCGTCGCAGGTCGACCCAGCCTGAAATGGGTACCAGGATGCTAGGGAAGTAAAGACGGCCGGCGTAATGCTGACCACATTACCCACCTAGTACCGATTGGTCTGTAAAAATATTGATGCTTTTCCCATATGCTCGATGCGCCTAAAGGTGTAAAAAGGGATCTTTACTTTACTTTTATATTGACTTTGACTCCCATGATCATCTAGCCTAAATGATTTTCGCCAGGAAATGTCCTGCAATAATAAACAATGATGGCCTCAGTAATGTTGATTGACTACGTCCTCTTAGAATGCCGTTTAATCTTTAAAATATCAATCATTGTAAGCACAATTGTAGTAAAACGAACCCTTTCCTTTCCTGGCAACATATATCCTGAATGTGTTCGACACGAACCACGCGGGTGGTCTAGGATACGAGTATGCATATTTATTTTCCAGACACTGCCGTTGGTGTAGCTGTTTGAGAAGTGGACAGAGTTGATGTTATCAATACCAGGCGTTGCACTTACCGCTGTGCATGACTTCGTTTCCCTGTCCAAGCTGATGGACATAGCGTTGCAATCTGAAGCAGCAAGAAATAAACATTTCACCAAAGGGACAAAACGTTTGTTTAACCAAGACAGATTAAGCGTCATCAGCCGTTTCAAGCCTGAAGAGTTTCTGAGGATTAGATAATCGAAGTACCTGTTGATCTGACTGGATTGTTGTGATGATAGTCTTTGGTAATCACTAACCACTGTATATGTATCATGGTAAACATATATTGACAGATCCGGTCAGTTATATAGGAATGTGCTTAGTGAGGGTGGTGGGGAGAGGGGGGGGGGGTTAAATTGTGAGGTTCCCTTGTGAAATTATGTTGTTATACCTAATGACTGACTGACTTTCTACCCCACTAGGACATCACACAAGCGATAAACACCCGATGACACAAAGTGCCACCATGTGGATGAGGATCGCCGTGGAGAGGTTCCAGAAATCGCGTTCAGGCAATTGGCCATATTTATGGCCTGCCTATATTGCGGCCCCTGGCAAAAGCCAGGGGGGGGGGGGGGGGGGGGGGGGGGGGGGGGGGCTTCAAATAATAAAAAAATTTCGTCCTGAAAAGGACGAAACTGGATTGTTATACCTAATTCAAAGAATTGTATTTTAAAACAATAATATGTGTTTGTTGAGCAGAGAAGCAAAATCTGCCTACATTAAATATCTTTGGAAGTAGGTAAAAAAATGTTTAGAAGTAGTTTACGAGGCAGACCAAACAGAGAGTAGACAGACAACATCCAGGCAGACCTACACACGCATGGAGTAACAACTAGAAAGAAAAAGCCAATGGCAGAGATAAATGGAGCTGGGAAATTTCTGCAGCAATGAAGCTCGAAGAAGAAGAAGAAAAAGAAGAAGAAGAAGAAGAAGAAGAAGAAGAAGAAGAAGAAGAAGAAGAAGAAGAAGAAGAAGAAGAACAACAACAACAACAACAACAACAACAATAACAACAACAACATGAAAAGAAAAGAAGAAGATGATGATGATGATGACACCTCCACGCCAGAAACATAATCAGTTGCGACCGTGGATCAAGCTATTGAACAGTGTAAATAGTGTGTACAGAAGTTTAGAGGATTTTGTTCCACTGTATTTGATTGTTTATGAGACTGTGATTCTAGACTTATTTGTGACCTTCCACATGTGTGTCAGTGTTTTTCTTTTTCACGTGTACGGCCTTTCTGTTATGTTGTTTTTGAAACAGTCCAATTCAGAGTAATAGCATTAAAGACTGTTGTGATGTTTGCTGTAAAACTATAAATGTTCTATTGTACCCAATAGTACACAAATGTTTGTTTTGTGCTAGACGTGTGCTTTTATGTCTAGTATCTATTATTGAACACTGTGAATGCTGTACACCATACATTGGTTTGTAAAAGGCTTTCATTCGAATATTCGTGTGTTTAGGTATCGGTTTCGAAAGAAATAAAGGAAAGAAGAAGGAGGGGGGGAGAAAAGAAGGAAGGAAGGAAGGGGGAAGGGAGTGAAGGAAGGAAGGAAGGAAGGAAGGAAGGAAGGAAGGAAGGAAGGAAGGAAGGAAGGAAGGAAGGAAGGAAGGAAGGAAGGAAGGAAGGAAGGAAGGAAGGAAGGGAGGAAGGAAGGAAGGGAGGGAGGGAGGAAGGAAGGAAGGAAGGAAGGAAGGAAGGGAGGGAGTGAGGAAGGAAGGAAGGAAGGAAGGAAGGAAGGAAGGAAGGAAGGAAGGAAGGAAGGAAGGAAGGAAGGAAGGAAGGAAGGAAGGAAGGAAGGAAGGAAGGAAGGAAGGAAGGAAGGAAGGAAGGAAGGAAGGAAGGAAGGAAGGAAGGAAGGAAGGAAGGAAGGAAGGAAGGAAGGAAGGAAGGAAGGAAGGAAGGAAGGAAGAAAAATAAATGTGTAATGATATAATTGCATGTATTCGTGCATTTTTAATAATGTGCATTTTAACAGTACTGAAAACATTTTATGAATAATGAATGAATTTAAGACTGGTAAAGAGACCTTTAGACTTACTTGCAGATTCAAATTCAAATTCAGCCTATCTCAGGAATGAGGTGACTCGAGCTCTGACTCCACAGGGTTAAAACAAACTCTTGGTTACAACTCGGCCAGACATCCTCATTACTAATTGTGCCTCCAGACTGGTGAATAACGTTACACAGTCAAATCAGTAAACAACAGGAAGTCTGACAAGCCATAAATAAAATTCTGACTATGACAAATTATTCCAACGAGACAACTTTTTTCAAGAATAAGAAACCTTGCGAACAAGAAACATACTGTAATAATTTCACTGTGATAAAGGAAGACAAAATGCGGAACAAAGAGAACCAGAACGATAGTTCAAAATGTCCTCAAAGAATTGAGACTAGAGAATAAGTCTCCCTATGTTGCCTCTGCCATTTCCGGATACATCATCGCTTGGAGAGTAGAGACAGATTACGAGGGCGCAACCGGATTCTGGCTGCCAAAGTGTTCCTTAGCTCTAACAACTTATCCTCAGTGGGCCGAATGGTGGGTCTCTGCAACGTCTCGATTCTAGGAGTGTCTCTGTACGACGATGATTCTCCCCAGGGACGGATCGAAAGATGACCAAGATTTCCCGGAGAGTTGTTGACGTCGACTTCACAAATAGTCTGCCAGACAGTGGCAGATCAATACGAGTTGGTTTCTCCCCAGTTGATAGTTAGCTGGAGAACCGGACTACCATACGGACACATGCTGGATCTTCAAACATCCCATGCATACGAACAAAGAGAACAAAGATGCTTTATTAACGGTCAAGTGGCCACAGAGCTAACACACATCTAACCACTTGAACGGACTAAGTAGAAGTGACGAATATAATCTTAATCCATGACTACAACCGTTGAGACCGGATATGGCTCAAGCTTGCAGTGAAGCGGTCAAACTATTAAGCTTGAACAGGCGCAGTAAACGTATCATACATATTGACACTATACGCCAAGAAGGGTCAATTTAGGAGTGATTTATCTATGTTTTATTTACAGCTGGACTCCCCAACAACAAACAAACTATATATCTACGGACGGACTGTCCGAGGTTATAGATACACCAAACAGTATGGGGGGGGGGGGGGGGGGGTGTCCAAACTGTGGGCAGGTCTATTTTGGTAGGGAAGTTACTGCTATTATGTGAGAGCTTTACTCTGTTTTAAAGTATTCCAGCAAGATGTTTTACTCTGTTTCAAAGTAATCCTGCAGGATATTTTATTCTGTTCAAATTATTTCTGCAGGTTGTTTTACTCTGTTTCAAAGTGTGTGTGTGGTTTTTTTTTTGCAGGATGTTTTACGCTATTTTAAAGTATTCATGCAGGACTTTTTACTCTGTTCCAAAGTATCGCTGCAGGATGCTTTATTGTGTTTCAAAGTATTCGTGCAGACTGTTTTACGCTATTTCAAAGTATTCCTGCAGGATGTTTTACTCTATTTCAAAGTATTCCTGCAGGATGTTTTACTCTGTTTCAAAGTAACATAATCTTGCAGGCTGTTTTACTCTATTTCAATATATTCATGAAGGATTGTTTTATTCTGTTTTAAAGTATTCCTGCACGATGTTTTACTCTAATGAGAAAAGTATTATTGTAGGACGTTTTACTCTAATGAGAGAAGTATTCCTGCAGGATGTTATACTCGGTTTCAAAGTTTTCATACAGGATGGGGGTCGTGTTGGTGTAACAATCACACTAGACTTCTGACCACGTGATCCTGAAGCCTTGTTTATAACGGGTCAACTTTTTCTGTAACGACCAGTAAATAAAAAGTAAAGTAAAGGACCCTTTCCACGCCTTTAGGCGTATAGGGCATATAGGGCTAGACCTATATTTTTATAGACCAACGGCACAAGATGGGTGATGTGGTCAGCATCACGCCGGTCGCCTCTACTTCCCGGGATTGCACCCGGTACCCACTCAAGGCTGGGTCGACCTGGGAGTAACGACCAGTATCTAATTAAAATATGTCTGCCCTGCGATGTTTGATCTTATCACGGCGCCTTTGTAGTCAACAGAAAGGATAATAATATCACTGGTGACTAGATGTGGATAATCAACCACGATGCATTAAGCTCGTGTAACAATACAGTAAACAAAAGAGTTAAATGGAAACAGACCACGAGTTACGAGAAGCGAGTGCTTAAACTGTGTGTGATCGCACGCGTTTTTTAACACAAAATAGAAGATTTTAGAACTGTGTGACATGAAAACTGGACAGACTTGTGTAAATCACTTTGCGGTGCACATTTTTGCAAAGTCTAAAAGTTTACTGCGATCATTTTAACAATGTGCGTTCCTTTATGTGAAATGTTTATGAACGTCCGTCTGTCAGTAATTTCTAAATATTGAAATTACAGTCATTTGCTTGAAATGAAAACATGCGTGTAAATACAGTAGTTACTATTTGATTTATTATTGTCTGTCATATATTATACTCAGTTGTGTTATACATCCGCACAAGTTCTTCACTGCAAAGAAAGATAAAAAACCGAACAAAAAGTAGATGGACGAGCTTCACAATATAATAAGCACAGACGAAAAGTGAACGTTGCGGCCACAGAGCCTTCATCAGTACAAACGTAAATGAAACAAAGCCACACAAATACGAAAATCAGATTGACTGATGTATCCGGAAGCAGGGGGAGCCGCCGTGGTCTACAAATCGGAAGGTCGTGGGTTCGTTTTTCTGACGGGGGCCAGACTTTTTCAAAAAATGATCATATCTCCTAGGTTGACCCAGCCTTGATTGGGTACCAAGTACAGTCCTGGGAAGTAAAGGCGACTGGCGTGATGCTGACCACATCACCCAGCAAGTGCTGTTTGGTGTATAAAACATAGGTATAGCCCTATATACCTAAAACGCCTGAAAGGCGTTTGAAAAAGTTTTTTACTTTACCTTTATCCCGAAGCAGCCACGTTGATGTCCTGCCAGTGGAAGTTCATACTTATCTGCATAGGACTGCATGATTATTCTTGCCTATGTGGCCGTTACTGGTGTACTAATTGTAACTTTTTTGGAGGTTGAACGGGTAATCTGGGATCTGCTTAAGCTCAGGATGATATGATAAATCTGTTGGTAAAATCCAGAGGGGACAATCCGATGATCGATCGATCATCCTCACATTATAAGTCATACAGAAAAAATTTGTTAGAACCTTATGGATGACAGTTTTCAGTGTTCTACTAGGTCTCAATATCAAATTAAGCTGACTCATATAGACCCCCATGAGACGGAAAATCTAAATACTTTAGACGAATTAAACATTACTGTGGTTAAAAGAGAGAGAGAGAGAGAGAGAGAGAGAGAGAGAGAGAGAGAGAGAAAGAGAGAGAACAGTAGTGGAAGAAATGCGGTGTGGAAGAGGCAGGGGTAGACCTACACCACCTTGAATACGGGGCTGTAAATAAACCAAGGGGATGAATATGAATGAGGCAGGAAACTGGCATAACACCCAGATCTTTTCGGCAGGTTGTGATGAGTGACGATTTGCAATTGACCTGTGACATGTAAAATGATGATGATGATGGTGATGGTGAGATGATGATGATGACCAACAAGAAGAGTAAGACCTAAGAGTAAGGCAAATACACGATAGTCTTCAACGTTGTGTCAAAGAAGGGATTCTAAATGTGCGATTCAGTTAGACTCATTTATGACAGTGATGACTCGACAAAAATAAAAAGTGCCTCTTTTGGTTAAGTCAGCAGTAGTGGCTCCATAGCGGAGACAGGTAGGCATTAAAAATATTCATTAAGTAATACATACAGGGTGTACATCCCTCAGGCATGATGCATCAGCTTACCAGGCAGCAGAGGTTGCACGGGTAGAGAAACGGAGGCAGACTAAACGGCGACAGCTGTTGTCCGCTCTGCTCAAGAACTTCCCAGGCTCAAATTGGACACATCAGCGACCTTCGTACTCATAATCCTTGATCATTACTACTTTGGATGAAAAATGGTCTTCATCACTCGTGATGGAAGAATAAAAACAACAGGGTGTAATATTTCCACATGTGTACTCGTTTGTGGGCAGAATGCTATAGTTACTGAATGACACGATAAGATCATCGTGGCATGGAGATATTAGCATATTAGGAGATAATGTCTACTCGATCGAGTATGAGAGCTGTGGTGATGCTTGATCACCCATGTCAGTTGACATACACTTAAGGATGAATATATATATATATATACGAGGGACCCAAGAAATTTTTTTCTTACCAGAAATTCCT